TGTTAAGGTCTTGGGTGTTGCTAGCTGTGAGGATGCTGCTGCTTTACAAAAGGATTTAGATATTTTGTGACTTGAGTAAATAAATAAATAGCAGATGGGTTTTGATTATAATAAATGCAAGATAATGCATATGAATTATCAAAATTTAATGGGAATAACCTTTACAGAGTTACAGAAGAAAAGGATCTTGGTGTACTGTTTGATCAGTCTCTTATGCTATCCGAGCAGCATGCTGTTACTAGTGGTAGGATCAACAATCCGAAATTCAATAAAACAACCAATAAAAAACACTACACATTACATCCCAGATATCTGTGGCAAAATAATTTTTAACATTTGGAAAAAACTTATAACCAAACATAACATTACAGTAAACACTAAATTCATCCATACCAAAATAAAATCTATACTTTGTAAAAAACTACTCTGACAAACAAAATACTGACATTATTTATAAAACACAATTCAACAACTGTCATGAATTCTGTATTGGAGAAACAAGACAAAATATGAAAACTGAGTTCAATGAACACAAAAAGATACCCATGATTTTGAACACTGCAACTCAAATACACACAATATAAACATATAAAATGCTAACATATTAAACAGAGAACAAACGTAAATAAACAAAAAATTAAAGAAGCACTAATAATACATGAACTTAAACCAATATTAAAGCAGCACCATGAAACACTTTTATAGCTATATTAGTTATTTCATTAAATGTGTTCAAGGATGATGTTACATTGTTGACTACCAATATAATAATACAATTAAATATATACAATGCCTCTACAACCTCATACTTATCATTACTGTCATCCCCATAAAATGTGATCAATAACAGTCACTTTTATGACTTAAGCAGGTCAGAACGTTGTTACTTGTATTGTGTTTTTAAATAAAAGTTTTAATACCCATATCAGCATCTGTATTATTTATTACAAAATTTTATACATGCAATTTGATCTTTGTGTTATCTTACAATTTTAAATATTACACACTAACATATTGCACTTAAGTATTAATTATTTATATTAAAATTGAATTTTGGTTGCATTTTTATATGGTTATAATAATGTATCATGACCCCCACCCAAAAAAAAAAGGACCAAATTCCATGCATCTTATAATGAACCAAAGTTAACTTCTTACAAGTTGTGAACACAGAATTTATCTAATGGAGACGTGAGGCTTTGCTTTTTTCCTGTTCCAAAATGCTGAACTCAAGACAGAGAGAAACTGGTGTCCAAACAAGTTACACAACTTCCAAGTGACTTCAAAGAAAAAATCAAATTCAGATATCTAAGATGAAAAGGTTTTCTAATCCTTAAAAAAGTTTACACAATAGCACAGTAAAGAATGAAATATAATCTACAGTTATTATACTGTCATGTATAAATATATCAGAAACTTAATGAGATTTTGAAATGTCAACTTCTTAGTATTTTGTTCAAAACATAATTATTCAAATTACAAACATCATACAATAATTTAAAATTTTTTAACACCAATCTTCTGTGACAAAAAACTCGAGCATCTACAGCAGTGCTGACACCTTTCAGATATAATCTTATTCAACTAAAAAATATCACCCACTCAGATAACACAGATCTTCTGTGACAGAAACCCTAGCATCTACAGCAGTGCTGACATCTGTCAGATATATAATCTTTTTCAGTTTGGAAAATCACACAATTATGTAGCAATCAGATAACACTGATCTTCTGTGATAGAAACTCAAGCATGCTATCACCTGTCAGATATCTCATGGTTTTACCCAGTTATTTGTGTCAAGTTCATTGTGACTGAATGATTTTTAACAAGTGCATAAATAATTCAGTGAGATGTAGTAATGCTCTGATCTATGATATAACATTTGATGTAGATGATGAGAAATAGTTTAAATTTCAACTTCATATTAATGAATAAGTGTACACACTAAAGGCTCTTTTTTCAATTGTTTTAAAACGTTTCTTTTTTTTTGCTTGTTTAAAATACATTTGGTTAGTTCTTTTTCTAAAGTCTCCTAATATCAAGAATAAAATTCAAGAAAAAAAAAAAAGCTGAGGCTCACATGATAAAAATAATTCAAAATATGCTCATAAACAATTAAAGCTGAAAAGTTTGAAATGTAGAAACACAAGTTAAACTTAATACTGGCACCCTATTGTTGCCACAGCAGTATTAATTAAATCATGTGACAGTTTTACTTTAATTCCTACATTAATGTTTTTAATATATATTTTGAAGTTGTTTATTTACTTGAAACATTTCCCTGCTGCTTTTATACTCTTCTTTGCTACATTTTATGGTGACTCCAAACTAAGATCATAAGCACTGGAAAATCTAGTCTACTAACAAAAACAATCCCACCGAGTTACTTATTTCTCATTTGTTTTCACAATTTTTAACTTCTTTCAAAGCATTTCAATTATCTTTCAACATTATATATATATGTATATATATACACACACACATAATATTGGACACAAAAAAACTGAAATATTACATACCATAGAGTCCAATGAATAATTTAGATGAACTAGTGATATTAATGACACCTATTTGTCAAATGCTTATATTAATATGTTACTTGGTTATTCTATGTTTACCTGCACAACTTCACCATTCTGTAATTTATATACTTATGCATACACCTTTTTATATTTTTAAGTTGTGGATTCACTTGTGGGAGCATATACACCCATGACCAACTTGGGAAAAGCTTTCTAAAGGCTGTAGCTTTATTGTAGGGGCAATTATACATCAATATCACTTCCATTATGTGTATGGATGTTTACTCCTCATGATTCTGATTGGCTTTGTAATAGTTACTGTTCATTTATTAGTTCTATATCTTATTGGGAGCTTGGATGTTACTTTGAGTGTATAACTTTGTTTTTGATTTCTAACCATTAAAGCTACATTTCAAAGTATTGTATTTTTGACCTTCTCTATCTATGGTAGCTAACAAGTGCATTAGTTTAAAGTTATATTCTTTGTTTAAATTCAAACTTCCAAATTCTTTCAGGTTTTCTTTCAAGTTTAACTTGATGCAGCCAGTGCCACACTGTATCTGTGAATTATCCATATTTTGATCATTCCTTACTATACGCTATCCATGTTTTAATCATTCCTTACTATACGCTATCCATGTTTTAATCATTCCTTACTATACGCTATCCATGTTTTAATCATTCCTTACTAATACGCTATCCATGTTTTAATCATTCCTTACTATACGCTATCCATGTTTTAATCATTCCTTACTATACGCTATCCATGTTTTAATCATTCCTTACTATACGCTAACCATGTTTTAATCATTCCTTACTAATACGCTATCCATGTTTTAATCATTCCTTACTAATACGCTATCCATGTTTTAATCATTCCTTACTATACGCTATCCATGTTTTAATCATTCCTTACTAATACGCTATCCATGTTTTAATCATTCCTTACTATACGCTAACCATGTTTTAATCATTCCTTACTAATACGCTATCCATGTTTTAATCATTCCTTACTAATACGCTATCCATGTTTTGATCATTCCTTACTAATACGCTATCCATGTTTTGATCATCTCTTACTGCATATTATCCTTGTTTTGATCATCTCTTACTGCATATTATCCTTGTTTTGATCATCTCTTACTGCATATTATCCTTGTTTTGATCATCTCTTACTGCATATTATCCTTGTTTTGATCATCTCTTACTGCACATTATCCTTGTTTTGATCATCTCTTACTGCATATTATCCTTGTTTTGATCATCTCTTACTGCATATTATCCTCGTTTTGATCTTCTCTTACTGCATATTATCCTCGTTTTGATCTTCTCTTACTGCATATTATCCTTGTTTTGATCATCTCTTACTGCATATTATCCTTGTTTTGATCATCTCTTACTGCATATTATCCTTGTTTTGATCATCTCTTACTGCATATTATCCTCGTTTTGATCTTCTCTTACTGCATATTATCCTCGTTATGATCTTCTCTTACTGCATATTATCCTGTTATGATCATCTCTTACTGCATATTATCCTCATTATGATCATCTCTTACTGCATATTATTCTTGTTTGGATCATCTCTTACTGCATATTATCCTCGTTTTGATCATCTCTTACTGCTTGCTATCCTTGTTTTGATCATCTCTTACTGCATATTATCAATGTTTTGATCATCTCTTGATGCATTGTTGTCCTTGTTTTGACTATCTTTTACTGCATGTCACTCAATACCAAGTTGATTCATGACTTATCTTTACATAAACGTTTATCCACTTTTTTGACAACTAATCTGACAACTTTAGTTTTATAATTTACTGTTTAAAAATATCTTAATATCTAATAATAAACAAGTTTTTTTATTGTTACTCTGATCAACATTTTCTTGAATCTAAGTAGAAGAAGGCTTGAGAACATTTATTTCTACCTTAACTAGGGTTGGCTTGTCTAGAAAATTGTATCCATTCAGCAAGTAGTTGTCTGCTCATTTCTTGCATTTTTTAATAGATTCAGTCCAATTTTAACATATTTCTTATTGACAAAGAACTTGTCTGTTCCTATCCTCCCTTGTACAGTGCAATAAGCAAAAATAGTTGGGGGCCTTCGTGAAATATTTGCTCAGAGAAATACACTGTTGAAAATCAGGAAATCACATTATGTAAACAGAACATCTTTTTTTTTAAACAACTCAGTAACTAAAGTTCTTGGGAAACCTTTATTTAGTTGTAAATTATTGAGAAGTTAACAACAATTCCAAACCTTTCTGTCCCATCTCATAACAATGTCCTGACAATATATTTTTACAAATAGTCATAATAAAGGCTACAATAATAAATACTATGGCATTAATTATAATAATTTACACTTCTAGACAACTGTAAGTGCACTCACACTTTCTACTACAAAAAAGCATACAAACATTAAAGACTTGCAATTACTACATTGTACTCTTCAAACTGCAGAAAATTGGCATCAAAATGTAAGAAATTTATTCTAATACATGCACATGTAATACTGTTTTCTACAAGGAACTCACATACATATATACAGTGGAATTTCCTGCTGACACAGGATCAAACAGAAGTCTCAAAAGTTACTGATTTTCCCTCAGTTTCTGACTTGGAACTTAATGAAGTAGGCTGTCTCAATATTGGGTCAGGCTTGCCATTTAGCACTGGGTGTCCAATTTCTTTGTTTTTTGATGGAGACTCAGAGTCTTTTTTTCTGCTATGTTGTAAATCCTTGTGGGAAGGATGGTTTATGCTGGAAAATTCATTATATCAAATGTTTTTTTTTTGTTTTTAATCTAGATAATCAATGTTTAATACACCAAAAATATTACATAACTAGCATCAATCACTGCTTAAAGCACAAAACAGGTTTTATGATATTCTTCCAATGACGTATTTTAAAATAATTCAACTGTTTTCAGAATCATTGGCCAAAACTATTTGTAAAATATAGCCTAATCCAAAGAAGAACCTAGATCGTTAAGTACTTAAAATGACATACATCAAGACATTATCAGAAATTAAATTTGTTTAGTTCTTCAGACTTAGGCTTTAAGATAACATGGTTTGCAGACTTGCCTCTATAATTATATAGATGCATTTTCTTCATGGCAGAAAGGTTTAGTACGATGCAGAAATTGTAATTGTACAAGTTTAACATGCTTTAGAAAATACAACATTGACAAATTCGTTAAGTTCTATCTTAGAAACTTGTTAAAATGATATATTCATTTAAATTATTCTATAAGGTACAATTAATGAAATATCAAACAAGAATGAAATTTAATTTGTGAATAACTTTAAGAGAACATTTTGCAACTAAACTGGTACAGTTCTACAAACTTGTATGTAAGTTATCAGTAGATACCTGTAAATAATAGGAATTATAAAACTTAAAAACAAAAATGCTTACCACTGCCGTATTTGTGATAATAATTCCATAAATTGTTTGTACTGTACTGGTCCAAATTCCTATAAATGTGAAAAGTAGTGAAGTTTTTCAATCATTTATGATTGAGTGATAATAACTTCTGATCAAAGTAAACTATGTATGTAGAGTGACACTAAAAATTAACCTTGAAATTAGGCTTATATCAAATAAAAACAACTTGAAAAAAAATGTATACTTGAAATGTTAAGAAACCTAAATGTAGCCACTCAGTGTGGGTAAATGGTTGATAATCGAACCTGTGTGATGTTGGAAGGTTAATAAGAAAGGTCATAATGAGGTAAGTTGGCACTAAGTCACATAGGGATAACTACACGAGCACTGTTTGATGGTATCATAGAGTTGGTAGACTATATGCAGGGATAGCCAAGGTACTCAACAGGCCAAATACAAATATGCATGCTAAAAAATCAACAATGACAGAGAGTTTTACTTTAAAATATGATTGCCACTAACTTTCATTTGTTTCTCTACCCAACAAGCCCAAAAACAAGGCAAGAAACCATAGGTAAGATATCAACCCAGAAAGTGACAAACCCACCAAATTGTTCATATTTCTTCTTCTTGTTTCAGTCAAGATAACTCTACAACTACTTTATCACTAACATCAGTTTAAACCTAAATCCACTATATGTATTTCTGGGCAGTGCACAGTCATCGTTTAGTCATAATAACTTGTAGTAATTAAAAAAATCATAATTCTGTGTAAAAGATGTTTTCATTACCCTTCGAGTTAGCTTTTTTTTGCAGAAATATGATGTTCCTTTAAAAATATTAAGTACACAGTGAAACAAGAATTACCAGCCAATAATAGATGAACATTAGATGACTAACATGTAGAATACTCAATGCTTTGTACACTATGTGATTGGTGTCTTTAGGCAGACAACCCCTATGTTGTGTAGGAAATGAAGGAATAAAAAAAAAATCAATACACATAATTTTAAATTTTATTACAGACATCCATAGAATACATTAACTTTCAGTCAGGGGATAAAATGTCACAAAATAAGTAATAAAAACATTTTGTAAATGTAAAATAATGGAAGGATGCAAGTGCCCAAAAAGGATGCAAATGAAAAATAGGGATGATACAGCTATACATAGATCATCCCTACATAACTTTCAATATTAAAATTTAATGTTACACCGTAAAATACATACTTGACTTTAATATTACT